TGAGAGACACAAAGAGAGGCAGAGAGAGAGGCAGAGGGAGATGCAGGCTGCGTGATCCCCGGGACCTGGGATCACGCCCTGATCTGAAGGCAGACGCTCAACCACTGAGCCACCCAGGTATCCCTGAAGGATCTTATTTTATTTTTTAAAGATTTTATTTATTTATTCATTAGAGAGAGAGAGAGAGAGAGGCAGAGACACAGGCAGAGGGAGAAGCAGACTCCATGCAGGGAGCCCGACGTGGGACTCGATCCTGGGTCTACAGGATCACACCCTGGGCTGAAGGCGGCGCTAAACCGCTGAGCCACCTGGGCTGCCCTGAAGGATCTTATTTTAAAGAGGAGTTGCCATTCCTTTTTGAGGACCCCCTAAAAAAAAGGTAAATGGAAGAGGGTCAGAGAAACTACTTTGCACTTTTGGTGTGGGCTAATTACATAAGCACTCAAAATGGGTTCCTATGACTTAATGGCCTCCAAGACAGTGACAGATCAGCCTCCTTCCAATACACCTTTAGGAACATCTGTGAGTCTGTGTAAACATCTGTATATACATCTGCATATGTTATTTCATTTGTCCCAGCATGTCTGCATTCGCATTCTGATGTAACATCTGTTAAACTGCAGCATCAAATATCTGGCTCTTGCTACAGCTTTAAGCTAATTCTGGGGGGATGAGATGCAATCTCAATTTAATACAGGTGGGCGGGGATAGCAGAAAGCTGGAGATCAAGGGAAACAGTGGATTTCCTTGAGATTTTTTTTTTTAATGGTCCAGAGAGACCAGGTCATGCTGAAGCAATTTAGCCTTTAACCACTAAAAGCATTATTTGGGAATGTTCTGCCATGCCCCTTTTTTTACTCTACCAGGATTTTTTTTCTGCCCGTTTCTGCCAGAATGAATACCTACAGCTGAAGTGCTAAGCCCCAGAGAATAACAGTTTAGATAAAGCAAGATTATTGGGACTTATACCATGGCCCTGTTACGTACAAAGTCAGAGCCTCTCCTGTTGCTTCACTTTCAAATCAGAAGGCATCAAGGAGGCAGCCACGTCATCTTTGTTTCAAACTCTCTTCTGCTATCAGCGTCTACTATTTCTCACCTTTTTAAAAAATTGATTCCTCAGAGAAGTCCCACTGTGAAGTTGGCCTGAAATGGTGATTCTTAAAGAATGGTTTTAGTGTTCTTGTTTAAAGTACCACCCAGAATGTGGGCGCCTGAGTGGCTCAGTGGCTGAGCGTCTGTCTTTGGCTCAGGTCGTGATCCCAGGGTCCCGGGATCGAGTCCCACATCGGGCTCCCCGCTGGGAGCCTGCTTCTCTCTCTGTGTGTCTCTCATGAATAAATAAATCAATCTTTTTTTTAAGTACCCCCCAGAAAAGTCTTTGCCATTCTAGATATGAATGGGTCTCTCTCCTCAGAAAATAGTATTAACTAGGATAGGAAGGAGGAGAGGCACACGGGAAATGACTAGAGCCTGGTCGAAGGAAGAAGCCCCCCCTTAGTTGGAGACTTGGCAACCCAGTGAAGTGGAAAAGGCAAGAGGAACCCTTTGGGCCTGAACACCAGTGTCCCCACCAAGGGCTGGTTACTTCCTTGGCCTAAAAATTACCACATCCTACAGCCAACCAATGCTAAGACACATCTCACCAAACACTCAACAATTTTTCCATAATAGCCTTTAATACTAAAATGCATTGAATTTTTGAAGCAGAGAAAACACATTTAAAGGGGAAACAGAGAACCACCAGATAAAAGGAAACAATGTGGCAGATAACACCATTTAAAACATAACTGTAATAATTTAATAAAGCTGCTTTATCATCTTCATAAAACAGAGTGGTGATTCTGTGTTTTTACAATGATTCAATCACTGTGAAAATGTACATAACATACAAATCAGCATATACAACAATTTCATCTTCATATAATCAGCAACAGAGACTGCTTAATGAGACGTACTGTACTTGCATCCCTCTAAATTTCCACCCTGGTTTGACAGGTAAACAGTAATAGTGTCATCAGGCTCATTCCCCTCACTAGAGGAGCGAAGGCGTAAGCCTTTTGCAACTAATACCTTAGCATTCAAATAACACAAGGAGGTATTTGTTGCTTAATTTCTAGCTTGAGCTAGTCTGGCTCTTGGTCATTAAAGTCTGTATCCTAGCCTTCCTCATTTGAACGCCAGCCAGTGCCAGTAAAAATCTACTTAACCAGTGCTGTAATGGCGTTAGCCCGTTTGTTTGCTAAGGTCAACAGCAACTTACAATTAGTAACAAGGTCAATTAATTGCCAACACAGCTGGAGCAACAATCAGCATCATCAGTTTTCCCTAATGACCTACAATGCTTTCCAATCAAGATCAGGTTTTCGTGGGTTATTCTTTACCAAGAGCGCCTTACAATATACATTTCAGACAAGGTGGTTGATTTTCTTTGTTTTACAAAAGCAATATGAGTTCTATTAGAAATTAATTCACTTTTGCACAATAAGTGACCCACAGGCCAATTCCAGCCTCACAAGAAAACAAAGAGAGCTTCAACAACTTCTTTAGGACAATGTGTTTTGCTCTGGAATATTTCATTATCAATATAAAGCCACCCGGTCCCAGCCCCACCCCCACACATCCCCTTTGAATATTACTTTGTTACATACTTAAACTAAAGAACAACATCTCAATACACTTCAGTGTCAGCAGATACAATTTGACTCATGAAATGACATCCTTAAATGTAATTTTACTGAGAAGGCAAACACTAGGACTGTATACAATGGACTTCTTAAGGTCATGTATGCCAGGTTTTCAAAGTTAGTTAGGGTCTTATTACCCTGGGTAAAGAGCCAAGTGGACCAGACTTGTTAGGATGCTTTGGGGAACATTCAAACATCAAAATGACCCCACAGAGGGCATTGGAATTCTAGCCAGAATTGCTATTATGTACAATAATAATCATTTTCCCACCCTGGATGCCTGATTGAGCTTCCCCTACACCCCTGCCTCTCCCCAAACTGCCTTCTGTCCTTGGTGACTCAATTTGACCACTTTTCCTTTGCTTGTTAATGACATGATAGAGTAACATAAAAAGTTCAACTGAATTCCCATCCTACGATCAGTTGTATGCTGTTCTTGAAGGAACGCTATCGAGATGATACCCTGGGTGTTGCTAATTTTCAGAGTTCTACACTATATTCCCTCTAACATCTCTTATTCATGATCAATAGGTCACCATGTCAACACATTAGTTTAGATGGGCACCTTAGGTGCAATTAGCTCTATTAGGCAGGTTTACTCTGGAGCAGTGATACTCAAAAGTGTGGTCCCCGGACCAGCAGCATCAGCATCACCTTGGAATTTTTAAATAGGCAAAGACTCAGGACCTATCCCAGATCTACTGAAACTCTAAGCGTGAGGCCCAATCAACCCATGCTTTAACAAGCCCTCAGCCTTTAGTGGGCATCTGATACATAGGAATTACCAGGCCTCTCTGCCAAGAGCTTCTGCTTCAATTGGTTTGGGTGAGAACAGAGAATTAACCATTTCTGAGAAGTTCCCAAGTGATGTAGTTGACGCCGGTTCAAAGACTACAGTTTGAGAAAAACCGCCTTTCAGGAACTGCAGGATCCTTTGGCCCATTACCTATCTGGGCAATAAGGTGGACCACAATTTACTCTCCTGGCTTTAAGAGGATCAAAGATATGGTAAGTTTCATTCTGGGCAGGTTCAAAGATTAGTCAGTATAGAGAAAAGAGATTCCACATAGCATGGCTCTCTTCTTCTTCCAATTCCTTGTATATAGCATATTCCCTATTTGGGGAAAAGCAATCAATGTAAATTAAATCCTATATATTGCATGAAAAAGTTTACCTGCCCAGGGATGTGCCCAATGTAGCTGTTAGAAAAGCAAGTCATGCCTCAACACCAACTCCTTCCCAAAAGGGCCATCAGAATAGATGGAATAGAACTCCCTAGGATTTAGGAACTGAAATTTCTCCCTCACATTTAAATGTGTAACATGTTTAGAGAGGGAAAAGGAAGAATATTTGGCCTTCTGGCCTTATGTGGCTTTTCATCAGACATACTGAAAAGGAGGAGGGTGGAACATGAGCCAAAGGGAAATCTAGGATCCTTGCACAAAATTCCTGCTTGCAGGCATAGCCTGTCTATAAAACTAGCCCTCCTAGGATGCCCTTGTGCTTCCAGGAGTATGTATACATCAGACAGTTGTAAAGGGGAAAAATAAGATACTTTCTTAATGAAAAAGTTTCTTTTTCATTAATGTTTCTCTAAACATGCTCAGTAAAGGGTTTGGGAGCCAAAAAAACTCTGACTTCCCACTGAGGAAAAAAAAGTATTTTGATAAGGAAAAATAATTGGTCTATAGTTTGAAACTGAATTCTGGAAAAAAAAAGTGGGAGGGAGCAAAATCTATGCCACTGCTACTCTAACCATTTTAAACTTGGCTGGTAAGAGACATGGCAGCCAGTGCCCTCTCTGGCACAGTGGCCATATAACATTTAATATTCCCACTTGCCACAATCTTCTCAAGTTCTCCCTCATTCCCACTGAGCATAGCAGGAAATACACCTGTACAGAAATTGTCAAATCTGACTTGAAAGTGACCTTGATGTGGTAGCTAACAATATAACATCAGGATGGATCAGGTGAAGAACAGTCTAAATTCTACAGGCAGCCATCATAACTTAAAGGAAAAAAATAATTTTAATGCGTTCATCAAATAGTCACTTGAAAACACAGATAAATACCTAATTCAAAACTACTAAGATGAAATGAATCAAAGAGGGAGAAAAAAAGTGTATGAAAGACAATGAAATGAGCTGAAATGAACATGTTATTGTAATTGATCTCTAATGGTATTGGTTTCAGAGGGAAATCTGTAGCCACACCAATATTTTGCATGAGGTAGTATTCAGCACTGAATAAGAAATAAGGATGAATTTATAGCTTCATTATAGGTTCTTTTTCAGAAATATTCTCTCCTACCTAACCCCATCCCTACTGCCTTACCCTCCCTCAAAACCCTCCCTCCCATAAAAGAAAATATTCCTATAATGTATAAAGCCAGGAACTCAGACAAAAATAATTAAAACATTTAAAAGAGCTCACTTATCCAACTAAACTTAAGAAAATAAATCCTTGTTTGCATTTTAGTGCTCTAACCTCTAAGCCTTTTTCCTGGGTACTCTTGAATTCCAAAAAAATAAAACAAATGAGAACAGAACTACAAAACTTGTTTCTCTAGAAACAACTTTCTAAAGACCAAGGCAGAGCCAAGGTGACCTATTTTGTTTAATTTTAAATAATGAACTCTTAGGCTGCAAGAATACTATGTTGACTACTAAATATTATAGACAATAAATGGGGGACTTGGAGAAATGTTAAACAAAAAAAAGAATGCATAACAAACTTGTTACTAATAAAAGGTGTATTCCTAGCCTACAGCAAAGAGCTAAATCTAAAGGATTTTCATGTTAATAGTTTCCCGTTCACATTCTTAATTTTAAAAAAGTATTAGTCATAAAAAGACGAGTTCAAGTGTCCAAGTGTCTCCATTTAGAAGGCACAGTAATTGGATTAGTGATGCTGTTACTGGTTACCTGTCTTTTCCTAAATGTACACTTTGTACTGCTTACTCTATTCCTATTTATAATCCTACAATATAGAAGAACATGGAGTTCTCAATTCCAGCCCCCGACATGCTTTTCAGTCTAATTCTAATTGTGATTGGGAAACACCGAATCAGGAAGAGTGTGTCTGAAAAGATGCTAATTTAGATCTCAAGATAGATTCAGTCTTTTTGAGTTTTAGACGATTGGATACAGGGAATTTCTAAGCCTGGAAATGGATAACTTCCCATTTAGGGCCTGAAAATTTTAAAAACTGATGTCATTAAACTTTCAGCATAGTAGTTCTGACAACTGCAAAGTAGATAGCAGAATATCCAAAAATCACTTTTTGTGATGATCTATCACTGATCTGGGCAGAAGACTGAAAGGCAGGAGAAATACTCCGCAAGGTGGCAAGTAACCACTATGTGGGTAGCCTCCGTGAGTGAGTGTCCTCCAAATGTTCAATCTATATGTGTGGTGTTGCTCATTCACTTGCCATCTCAGTTTGTTGCACTTTGTTTTTGTCTGTAGTTTTAATTTTTTCTAAGAAAAAAAACACCAACTTCTAAAAGCCTTTTGCCATCACCACATACATAGCAATTTGCAATATCAAATACAACAATAGCACAGCTAGCAAAAGGGTTCTTAAAGCAGGGGTGTCCACAGCAAAGTAGTGGCATTGGAAAGTACTCAAGGTTCAGAAACAACCTTTTGGGGGCTCAATTTCACATCGCTGAATCAATGAATAGTACACTATAAATGACCATTAACTTGTCTACACTACAAAACAGTGGCAAGCTTATTAAAGGTGTCCAGAGCTTTCTTTTTGTTATTGTTTTTTTTAAATGTAATCCTCCACAATGGTAATTTATAATAATTTGACATAGAAAAATATATAAATTCAAACACTTAATACATAATACTTTTCCCAACTGAATTTGTCTCTGTTTCTCCAACATCAAGGCCCCGTGAACAACTCAAGCCAAAGCTAATTTGCTCCAACTGAACACCCCTGCTGCCTGTTGAAACGAGAGGGATTGTCACAGAATGATAGTCACTTATAAACAATACATTTAGGGAAAGCTCTGAAATAACAGCCACTCAAGAACCAACCATTGGTGAGCAATTAAAACAACCAGCCACTGCTTCTTCGATAACCAGCATGGTTTCTCTCTGTTCTTCCCCGAGACTGCCTTAGAGAATGATATCCTTCAGACGCTTCACACCAGGAGACTCTTTGTCACGACCCTCCTTCAGAGTGGGGTTGACCTCATGCATGACTTTCTCACTGTCAGCTCCACGAGGCTCAGCTTCAGAGGGACGAGATGGACCATTGTTGATATATTGCTCCAGATCATGGGCCGGGGGCGCCAGAGCAATGGTGTAGGACACGGAGGGTTTAGTGGGCAGAGGGCTCTTGAGGTGCAGGGGGGAGGTGACAGGGCTAATAGCCTCACAGCCATTGCCAGCCTCTCGGATAGCGCCGTTGACCTTGGGGCTGCAGATGGTCACATCGACAGTTCTCCTGCCTTTCAAGGTGGGCCTCTCCTCAGCCAGGTGTTCACTGACATCTTTTCCAAAGGTTGCAAAAGTCCGCTTGGAGGGGCCGCAGTCGTCATAAGCCTCAACATCAGCAGCAGTAGCTTCAATGGACAGCGCGATGACATTCCTCACATGCTCAGGGGACTTGGAGCGGGTGGGCATGGGGTTCCGGGGCATCCAGCACCTGTCAGAGTGGCCAAGAATCCGACATTCTTCCCGGCAATGAAAGCCTTCATTCTGATCTGTTTGGAGAGAATAAAATGTCAATTACATCAGCTTTTCCCAGGAATCTTTGTTACTCCCCAGTGTTCTGGTTTCTTAGGTACCCACAGGCCCTTTTGGGAAATGACACTTTTAGATAGTCCTTTATTGCCTTTTGGGACAAGTGTGAAGAATTGGATTTTTTAAAGGCTGTAGATCTCCCCCTGTATACTCTTCTCTTTTATTATTATTTTTGTTGTTGTTCCTACTGCTGACAAAACTAACCTAAAGGGAAACACGTTATGATGAAAAAAAAATGTATATTAAAGAAAGGTTATCCTGAAGTATCAAGATGCTGAGAGTCAGCATTTTTATCAACAACTCCTGCTAAAACTCAACTGCATTTGAAATTGGTTCCAACAGAATAGGGAATGGGGGCAGAGCAGAGAATCCAACAGTCAGTATATCTGAGAAGCCTTGGCCATATTTTTGAGCAACAGTACTGAAGACTATGCTTCCACCTACTTAATTTTAGATTGGTATCACGCAGGATGTCTGAGTGGCTCAGTGGTTGAGCATCTGCCTTTGGCTCAGGGCGTGATCCCAGGGTCCTGGGATTGAGTCCCTCATCAAGTCCCGCATCAGGCTCCCAACAGGGAGCCTTCTTCTCCCTTTGCCTATGTCTCTGCCTCTGTGTGTGTGTGTGTGTGTGTGTGTCTCATGAATAAATAAATAAAATCTTAAAAAAAGATTGGTATGTTCTTCAAAAACCCAATCACTTTACTTTTTTTCGACCATCAATTCTACCAGCCAATATCTTCACGAAGTTATTTACATGACTTGATTTCCCATTAGAAGGAATATACTGAGATCTTTTCCTTTCAACTGACCCATAAGTTTCAAATGACCCTATGCACATATCACTCACAGGCTGAGCATCATTTAATTATACTCAACTAGCCATCCCTCCTTATTCTCATCTGCAGTTTTATTACGGTCATATTTCTTAAAGATAGCTTTCCTGGATTACTTTAACCCTAACATAGAAGAACTCAGCAGTTAGAATTCATAATTATTGGTGAGACATTTTTTTCTCTTCTCAAATCAGGTTCATTTAATGATAAGGCTTTAATTTGACTCTCGGAGAGGCTTTCTACATGGGTTTCATCAAAGCATGGACCCAGGGTTAATTTCTGCTTATCCATTGGAAAATTGTTCATCTCAATGTCTGGTTTATAGCCCTAGTTTTCCACATCTATTTTTATGTATATTACACAGAGGAAGAGAGTTAATTAAGATTTGAGCAGAACTCAACGAAATCGAGACCAGAAGAACTGTGGAGCAGATCAACAAAACCAGGAGTTGGTTCTTTGAAAGAATTAATAAGATACATAAAGCATTAGCCAGCCTTATTAAAAAGAAGAGAGAGAAGACTCAAATTAATAAAATCATGAATGAGAAAGGAGAGATCACTACCAACACCAAGGAAATATAAACGATTTTAAAAACATATTATGAACAGCTATACACCAATAAATTAGGCAATCTAGAAGAAATGGACGCATTCCTGGAAAGCCACAAACTACCAAAACTGGAGCAGGAAGATATAGAAAACCTGAACAGGCCAATAACCAGGGAGGAAATTGAAGAAGTCATCAAAAACCTCCCAAGACACAAGAGTCCAGGGCCAGATGGCTTCCCAGGGGAATTCTATCAAACGTTTAAAGAAGAAACCATACCTATTCTACTAAAGCTGTTTGGAAAGATAGAAAGAGATGGAGTACTTCCAAATTCATTCTATGAGGCCAGCATCACCTTAATTCCAAAACCAGACAAAGACCCCACCAAAAAGAATTACAGACCAATATCCCTGATGTACATGGATGCAAAAATTCTCAACAAGATACTAGCCAATAGGATCCAACAGTACATTAAGAAAATGTATATTACATTCTTGTATGAGGATTACCTAATCAAAATTTTTATCACATTGTATAGTGCATCAAGATACAAGCAGTTTAACATTTACAGAAAACCTTGGGGCAGAATTGGAGGAGGTAGGGAGATAAGGAGAGACTGTAAAGATGAAAACAAAAAAGCATGACAAAATAAAGTTGATATTGCTGTGATTGCTTTTTTGCTGGGGGAAGAAGTCTGAAATTCAGGGTCTTGCCTGATACAGTCTATATATAACACACCTTTCTTTATACACTTGTATTTCTTTGTTTGTTTCTTATTTTTAAATAGTAAATGGGATAGTAAAGAGGCAATGTTCTGTTTCATCTACCAAAGGTTATTTTGGTAAATGGGCACATACAATGGGAGGCTCAAGAAATAATGGTTGAATTGGATGTATACCTTATCATTTGGAAAAAAAGGCATTGGAAGCAGCTAAATATCATGGCCTACTCCAGGCTGAGTCCAGATTTCAACACAACACAAAATGGCCTTTGACCTAGTTTAAACTACTGAAAAGCCAATCAAAGTTCAGACCCTTTCAGTGTACTGGGACACAATTTGCCAATTTATCTTTAAGATGGCCATTTTATGCTCCTTTTCAGTGGTGGAGAATAAAACACTCAGAATTTTGCAGATACGAAGCCAAATAACAAATGAGCATTATCACCAATAAGATAAGTGCCTTCCACCATAGGTAGGGCAATGCTTCTGCAAACTCCAGCATAGTTCCACATGTGGGTTGCATGACCACCTCTACAAAATAAAGAGTTTTCAAAGCCTTTTCTCTGCCTCTTCCCTGCAAATTCTCAGTGTTGCCATCTGATAGCCTATCATCATTCAAAATGCGTATGTTTCTACTAGACAGAAAGTACGAAAGTAAGGAAAACATGTTGGAACTTACTTAAGAAACGTTTACTTTGTATAGACTCAAACATTTGTGGAAGAGTGTACAGATGATCCACCCATAATCAGTTTCATCTAAATGCAGTGTTTTCCTAGGAAGCCCCAAGATCCCTCCAGTAGGACAGAATTACCATGTTCAGAGTCTCCCAAAAAGATGTTTTATTCCTCCCCATCTCCTCTGAAACCCATATAACTTCCAAGGTAAAAACTCTAAAGAATTAGTGTATTTGTTTTGAGGTGAAGATTAAGGGGGTGCAAGTGGGGGAACATTTTAATAATTAACTTTTATTTCTATAAATCTGAGTAAGAGTTTCCTGGAAGTCAGCAAAAAAGGAAAAAAAATGTCCAGAAGGCTATGAGATCCCTGTTCTTTTTTCCCTTAATTTACAGCACAAAAGCATGAAGAACTTGGTCTTTGAACCCTAGAACCATGGACATATGACAAAGCATTAAGAGAAAAATCTCAGGCGACCTTCAGGTTGATATTACAGGCCACTTTCACACACCTCAAGTAGAACAGTGGTGAATTATAATCTAGCAAGATCATCTCAATGAACTGAACATACAGCTCTCATTTCTTTTTAAGTTTTTAGTATCAAGTAGTTGCCTTCCAATTTGGAGATGCAGTTTTTTTTTTCAACACCATTAAGTAGGAGAACGCCATCCATGTGTTACACTGAAGGCAAGCACAGTGCTCATCCCCATATTAGACTGCTTCAAATAAATAGCATGGGAAGACCTGGATCCCCACCACACACAAAAGAAGAGCAGAGGTCCCAGAAACAGACACCTGTAAGATCTTATGAATTTAGGAAGACCAGAGCAGGGAACTCAGTCTTAGAAGCTTCTCTGCAAAGATAGTACTTGATTTCAACTTACCCACTGCCCACATGGATAAATAACCCTCCAGGAAGAGGAAAAGGTAAACTCCGCTCCTCCGGGAATGTGATAATAAGCCTACCCACCAATCTCACTAAGCCTATGTCAGCCCTATATGAGGTTTAAAAAATAGGAATTTTTTTGGATTAATTATGTGAACTTATATGTTCATTGCTCTTACCTCAATGTGAGCAAAGACTTGAATCTTAGAGACTCATTTACTCACAATGTTTCACCCCTGGCTTAGATTTGATATCTTTATTTCCTTAAATTCTTACTAAGGGCAGTGACTTGCTGTTTCTCATTTTTAGTATTGAACAACACTTGATGACATTTGTATCAATTCAATTAAAACAAAATCTAACCTAACTTTAGTGTTTATAGCCATGTAAAATAGGAAAGAAAACATGCTGAATATAGACAGACAGGAAGAATGTGTTCCCAGCCAAAGGTAACCTACATTCATAAATGTATTGCAGATAAATTACTTTTTCAAAAGCCAAAACTTCAGTTTAGTAAGGAAACTGCATATTAAAGGTGAGAAAATCACAATACAAAGCCCCTTAAGAATAGCAATGAAGACAGACCAGATGTAAAAATGTGAAGAAACTACTTCTGGAATTGCACAGAACCGGTAGAGGTTATTTGCCTGCCATCATGTAGTATTGTGGCTAGGGATGGAGGCATGAGAGTGGAGAGGAACCATTTTGTATCATAAAAATTAGCTGTCAAAAAAAATTGTCAAGATCCTGGCTCCAGCTGAAACAGAGGTCAGCTAACAATTCACTAGTTCCCTGCTAAGATTCCTCGTATATGCTTACTTATGACTCTATACCTTGTTACATCTTGACCTGAGCCTACGCAAGGCAAAATGTAAACCTCTAAAATCCACACATAGTTGTGGAAATCCAAAGACATTACCAGGTACAGATAAATGGCGGCAGGTGTCTATAATTTAAATGTACGTATAATTAGGGGTCAGTAAGGAATTTGCAAATTGGTCTTCTCTAATTCTGAACTTGTCCCTAAGATTTGCAAAAATAAGTGAATGAACGAATGAATGAATGAATGAATGAATGAATAAAATGTATACATTTGGAAGTGGGACACACATCTCAAAGCCAGTCCTTAAATCAAATTTAGACAAAAAGTTGAAAATACAGAGAGAATAAAGAAGATGTGGTTTATGTATACAATGGAATATTCCTCAGCCATTAGAAACAACAAATACCCACCATTTGCTTCGACGTGGATGGAACTGGAGGGTATTATGCTGAGTGAAATAAGTCAATTGGAGAAG